AATCACCATTACTTAGGTATATCTTAAAGTTATTCTACATACCCTTAATAATACATATTATTTTTACAACCATCAATCTATTCATTATGATTCATTCTTAATTATCATTTTTAATCAGAATATTCATCAAGGTTTAATCATCATAATCATAAATTAATAATCATCATCATAATCATCAAATAATCAACATAATATTCAATAACAATTAGCAGCCTAACTTCGGGTGTTAACACCCTTACTTACCGTCATGCATCTCATAACGTTTTTATTTGTTAAAAAAATCACTTTTATTATGAAAAATCACTTTTATAATGATCATAATCAATTGGTATCAAAAAAGGATTTAAGAGCTCAAAAAAAGCATTTTTGGACAAATTTTCGGATAAGATTTTCGGGGGATCGATCAAGCCTTATGGATCACTCCGGACTATGAAAAATTACTCCCAGTAGATCGATCCAAGCCCCTGGATCGATCTAGAAAGTGCCTTTTCAGTCATTGTTCATCGTCTTCTTCGTTACGCGTCCAATTCCGAAAATATCATTTTTAGTTACTGAACTTTGATTAAATTATATAGAAATATTATCCAAGGTTTATAGATCATTTTGGTATCATTAATTCATAGTTTTAACAAAAATTTCATGGTTTATAATTCTTGGTTCTTCAAGCATGTCAAACACAAAACTCAACCAAACGACCGTTTATGAACGTAGAAACGATCTATACGAACATTCCTGTCACTAGACATATCTAAGGGCTTACCTCGAAGCTTAATGGAGGTTTTGAATATATTCCAGCAAAACTTTCGGCAAGGATTGTGGCTTGCTCCGGCGACGGGAAGCTCTCTAGACAGCACAACTTCACTATCTATACTCTCAGCTATCTCTAGGAGGAAGAATGGTGAAGAATGGTGGAGTTTAGAGGGGTTTATATAGTGGAGAGGAGAGGAAGAAGACATGGGTGATGACCTTCATTTTCCTGTTTTGGCGTCTCAGTGGAGCGGACGGCCTATCTCTAGGATTCCAAATGTAAGTCCTTGAGTGGGACTAAATTGGTCCCAGTCGGGGAACACTTTTTTGTCCAACTTTCTCCGAATTGAAATTCGTTTTCACCGTTGCAATCAGATAGTAAAACTCTATCCAACGATATAACTTTTATATTTATCTGTAATACTTTTTCCGACATCATTTTTTGGGTGATTGACTTTGACAGAGTCAAAATTAATTTATTTGACCTTTACTCAAAAAGGTTCTTACATTTCATTCATATTATTTATTCTCATGATTTATTTCAATAAATCATTTCAAAGTTCATATCATAAACAAACTTTTTCATTTATCCTTGTTTTGGGTCTGTACTTAGGTTCCCAATTAAGGTCACACAATAAGTCAACATATTGGATTTATTTCTATGAGACTTATCCAGATTTTGATATTGGATATTAAAACATATTTCATTTCGGTCCAAAGCCCAAAAACTATTATTATTATTATTATTATTATTATTATTATTATTATTATTATTATTATTATTATTATTATTATTATTATTATTATTATTATTATTAATCAAAACAACTTGATTAATTGATTATTTATTTATTAATAATTCTACGGAATGTTTTGGGGCGTTACATTTCTTCCCCCCTTAAAAGAAATTTCGTCCTCTAAATTCTTTTGAGGTTCTACAATCGATATCTTGTTGTATTTACGACAATCATGACCGCGTTAAGTTCATTCGGTTAAACCATAATTACGTCATTATCCACATGGATACATAATCTCAAACTATCGATGTTATCAAACTCGTTCTTTCTTCAAGAGGTTAACAATCTTAGATTAAGCAAGGTTTCTAACGATCCTTTTTGTAGGTTCCCGTTCAGATGAAACATTCATAACCAAGATTCCTTTGCAGGGTATAACATTGAATTTTGAGGCATATTTAACATACTTGCACATCACTTCGTTCATTCACAATTCTCAATTGTACAACGTCGATTAACGATATTCTTCCTTTGTTTCAAAGTCCTTCAGTGGCATTTGCAGTTTCAAGTTCGCGATAGATGTAGTGGAAGATTTGGAGGTTGTTTAATTCATACGTCATAGCATAACTTTCTCAAGTTACATGAGTTATCTTCATAGCGTTCACATAGTTCAACAATGATTCGTAAGTACATCAATGGCTTTTTGTGGTCCAAGATTTTCAAGATATGGGATTTGTCATCGTTTACGAGGAAGTACTGTCGATTGGTTGTACATTAGCTTGTCATCATCGAAACATTTCTTCATTCACTTCATGGTATTTGTAATTTGTATTAATTCGTATTCATAGGTGCTGATGTTCGAGTGGCGTCTCATATACGTCTTGTCGTATTCAAATTTCTTTCATGAATTTGAAAACATATCTCAAAAATAGCATTTTCGGAGCAAAATTTCGGGGGATCGATCCAGTGTACTAGATCGATCCATTCTAGAGATCGGAAAACATGCTAGAGGATCAATCTAATGGGGTGGATCGATCCACCCTGCTGGTTTTTCGATCACTGTTCATCTTCTTCTTCGTTCGGGTCCAATTTCGAAAATACCTTTTTTAGTCACCAAACTTCAATTAAACTATATAGAAATGTTCTCCAAGCTTCATAGATCATTTTGGTATCATTAATTCATAGTTTTAACAACAATTTCAAGGTTTAGGATTCTTGGTTCTTCAAGTATGTCAAACACAAAACTCAACCAAACGAACGTTTATGAACGTAGAAACAATCTATACGAATATTCTAGTCACTAGATATACCTACGGGCTTACCCCAAAGCTCAGTAAAGGTTTTGAGAATTTTTGGCGAAACTTCCAGCGAGGATTGTGGCTAGCTCTGGCGACTTCACACCAAATTGACAGCACCAATGAACTCTCCACTCAACAAGGAACACAATGATACTAACTTTGGAAGGATTGGTAAAGAAATGGGAGAATTGGGTTCTTTATATACGAGAAGAGAAGATGAAGAGGACAAGGGATGACCTCTGTTCTCCTGTTTTGGCATCTTAGTGGAGGGGGTTGCGGCTTCTACGGGTTTTTAACGCAAGTCCCTGATTGGGACAAATTTTGGTTCCAGTGGGGGTATAATTTTTTGTCCAACTTTCTTTGAATTGAAATCTGTTTGCACCGTTGCGATCGGACAGTTAATCTCTATTCAACGATATAATTTTTATATTTATTTGTAATACTTTATCCGACATCATATTTTTGGGTGTTTGACTTTGACAGAGTAAAAAATGATTTAATTGACTTTTATTTAAAAAAGTTCTTACATTTAATTCATATTATTTATTTCATTATTTGTTTCAATAAATCATTTCAAAGTTCACACCATAACAATTTCTTCATTTATTCTTGATTTGGGTCTGTACTCGGGTTCCGAATCAAGGTCACATAATAAGTCAACATATTGGATTTATCTCTATGAGATTTATCCATATTGTGATATTGGATATTAAAACATATTTTATTTTGGCCTAAAGCCCAATTATAATTTATTTTAATCAAAACAATTTGTTTAATTGAATAGTTTATTCAATAATACTTTTAGGGTATATTTCAGGGCATTACAAGTATACCTTGAAATAATTTTATTTTGAAAACGTATCCGCAATGATAAACTATCACGTTGTAATTTTCATTCTTTGTTTAATTTATTGATTCTTCAACGTTGCTTCGCAGCGTTCTTCCTCGGAAATTTCTAACAATCCTATACTCCCACAGTTCCGCTTATCTTCTAATACACAAAGCTAAAGTGAAAACATGAATTGTGAAAACTTCCCGCCTAAAATTCTCGGGCACAATTTGGGTATTGAGTTCCGATATCGGATTGGGCAAAGAAGAAATTGATCCCATTGGGCAAAAGAGTTTTTAGTTGGGCTAATGCGTCTTTAGTACCCGTGAAGGCATTTAAAGCATGTATTAGTCTGTGGCTCCATGTATACTTTATGTCAAATTATATTAAATAAATGGGTAGTATATTAATATGAACACGCATCAAAAGAGTTTTTAGTTGGTGCATTGCTCGATACAACCTTTATCTCAAATAAAAATAAATAAATGAGTATTGTTTTGCTATGGAACTGCGTGCGTAGTAATATTAGTGCATGACTCGATGTAAAATTTATGTCAAATCAAGATAAATAAATGGATAGTGTATTGCTATGAAACCGCATGCGTAGTAAATTTGATGCGTGACTCTATACATACTTTATGTCAAATCATATTAAAGAAATAGATTCACTAAATCAAGATATTTGATGGTTATATTGATTGTCTATTGATACTCTAAACATTTCATACCTCTCATCCCAATTCGGCCCACTTTCGAAAAATGTCTCAAAACATTCAAAGAGTATGTAGAATGTGTGCTTGTCGAGATTGACAATAGTTGAATCACTTGGATGTTTATGTTACGAGCCATTCGCATCTACTTCGTTCCGACTTAGACAAGAGGAGGAGAGTCGATGCAAGTGATCTTTCATGATAAACATGCATTATATTCACAATTTTTTAATATTTGATTATATGTTATTATTTTAATTTAATTTTATCATTTTCTTTAATCAATGCTTTCAGTAATTATATACTCCCTTCGTCCAATTTTATATCGCCTATTTCGGGTTACGATGTTTGACTGAAATTATTTTCAAATCATTTTATATGACAAATGGTATATAGTTAAAAAATAAAAATTACATATTAAAATACTACATCACAAAATCTACAAAACTAGTAGTGACAATAGTACTTTGTTTTATCAAATTGCTAATCAAAATTAAGAAAGAAAGTGAATGAAATTTAATCCTGTGAATAGTGAACAGACATTATAATTTGGGACGGAGGGAGTAGTTTATAATTAGACCGTGCAACGAACGGATACGAGTCTAGTGTTACCAAAGCAAACTGAGCAACCATTCGTATCCAAGTCTTTCACACTTTTCGAAGTATTGCGTGTAGCCTAGTACACCCTAACAATCTTTTACTGACCAGTAGCATAAACATAATTAAATGTAAGCAATGTGACCAGATCAATACAACACATCAAAAATTTTGTTTTTATAACAAAGAAAGAATGACAACTTTACCAAAAAAAAGGAATGACAACCATACATAGAAATCAGTAGCAGCAGCATTTGTCGCCGCCTAGTGTTAGCCACTGACCAAATCCTTGATACTACTACCAAATGCTGCAGATGATGATAATAATAAAAATAATAATAATCATAATAATAATAATATTCAAAGTAATAATAATAATAACAATTATAATAATAGTAGTAGTATTAATAGTAATCATAATGATAACGATGATGACGATGATGATGATGATGATGATGATGATGATGCAGGGGGAAGATGGCAGAAGCATATAAGGCTTATTTCTAATCGGAACTGTGATGAAGTTGGGCATGGAGATTCACCACTTCTTTAGACAAGTCATTAATGTCCTGTTCTTGCTCGGAAATTGGCTCTTCCTGTAGGAACAACGAAAAAAAACATGAAACGAACAAACTGGAAGGCCCGAAATGTTAAAATGCAAAACAGTTTTCTATATACAATCATTTCAGTACTTTCTGTAGCCAGCATTGATTGTTTTTTAAGATAAAACATAATCTCAATCAGTAAGCAATGGTAAGTAAAAGTCTCGTACAAAGTACTGGTGTTTTACTGAAATAATAGGGAATGAAACTAGTGAAGTAATTATAAAATATAAAAATCTAACGAGTAAAGGGATATTACATCTAGTTTATATTAGCTTAATCAATAAATGCAATTCATGCATGCAATTTGTACGGTATCAAGGAACAGCTCAACCAAAAGCTCAAGTTGATTATCAGAGCATCAGAAATGGTTTATAATCTAACATACAAGGAAAAAATAAAACAAGGAATTGGTGTAGTAAAAAGTAGAGACACGAGAGGGCTAATATATACCTCCATATCTCGTCTTTTAACTTCTACGCATTTTGATGCACTGATACTATTGCTCTTTAGCAGATCGCGAGTGCTAATGTTTAATCCATTTTGTGTGTTCTCCGATTCATCAGGTGGACTATGAAGGGTTGGCTTTTCGATATAATTATCTTGAGCACCTTTTAGTGCTGGCACGCGCTCTCTGAAATCTCATAATAACAGACATTCAGGGTTATTATTTTTTAAACTTTTAAAGAAAATAATAAAAGAGCAGAATTTTAATTTATAGCCGTACCATCAACTGCATATAAAAAAGGTTTAAAATGTGGTGAGTGAAAAATGGGGAATATGCTAATAAACATTAAATTGGGGCTAGCTAAAGAGCCATAATATGAAACAAATTGGCAGTTTAACACACCTTGGGAGGGAGACATGCTGCCTTTGAAGTGGAGTGCTTCTTTCACCTTTACCATAATGCTCCTCAAGATGCGCAAATTGACGCTTGAACCGATCAACACCACTAGTCAAAATAAAGCAACATCCATAAATGTCTACACTTTAATTCCCCAAAAAAGAATATTGATCAAGTTGAAACAACCATAAGGTTTTTTAACATTTGAATAGTGACTTAGACAAGTATTTAACAAATACACCCTCCGTCCCACTTGATTTTTTACTGTTACTATCAGGCAATGAAACTATTTTCTCTTTGTTTACATCATTTCACCTATCATTTGATAAAATAACTAGTTATGACACCTCTTATTTGGTAGATCTTTTAATACAATTTTTAAATATTTAAATTTTCTTTTTTAATGTACACCAAAAATTAAATAGAATCATTTGAAAATAACATCGATTAAGCATCGTAAACTATATAGTCAAGAAACTAGCAAGATGGAGGGAGTATACGAATTGTGTACAACTCTGTGTGTGCATGTCTATATTATAGACACACACATAGATGTGTGTGTCTATATATATATATATGTATCTATATATATACATATATATATGTATGTATGTATATGTATATATGTATCTATATATATATGTATGTATGTATGTATGTATGTATGTATATATATATATGACACCTTACGGTAAGATTACGCAAAGCTCACCACTAATCACTGCAAAGCTCACCAAAGGCAACTGTGAATTTTTAACACTTGATTTTTTCACACTTTGAATTTTTAAAACTTTAAAGTTTCAATGCTTACAAACCCTAACCAAAAAGTTCACCATTCTTCAACGCAAAGCTTACTGAACATACACACGAAGCTCACCAAATTTTTAGGTTGAGAAATTAAAAAAAAATCAAACGGTGACTTGGACCACCATTGACCGCCAACCAGCGACCAGTGGCGGCGGCAGCGACCGGCGGTGGCTGCGGAGGTGACCAGCGGCAGTCAGTGGTCAACATGGGTCAAATTCAACACCTCCTCCATTGATTTTTTCAAAGAAAAATTTCAAAGTGTGAAAAACAATGGTGACCTTTCCCATACATTCTGGTGAGCTTTACAGTAGGTCTGAGTGAGTGTTACAGTTGGCATTGGTGAGCTTTGCATAATCTGACCGTAGCATGTCATCTTACTGTAAGGAATCATTTGAATGGAGTCGATCCTATATATATATATATATGTATGTATGTATGTATGTATGTATGTATGTATGTATGTATATGTATATATATATATATATACATATATGCACACACACATAAAAGTCTAACATGACACGAGTGCTACTGGTGTCATTTACTTACACTTGTTCGTAAAAATGACGGTTCCGACCCCTTCTACCTCTCACCCTAAACCTTCCACCTCAGCCCCACCATTGTCGCCGGCAGTAGCTGACCACCACCATTGACCGCCGGCAATAGCTGACCGCCGCCTGCCACCACCGACCGCCACCGCCATCTTTTAATTTACAAAATTTAAAAAAAATGTGAGTTTTGATGTTCAAAGTTGTGAGCTTTGCTTTATTTCCAGGTGAGCTTTGCATTGGTCATTGGTGATCTTTGTAGTGTAATGTAGTGAGCTTGGCGTCATCTCATCGAAGCATGTCATATCACCATAAGGTGTCATCTCACTAAAGTCAATCTCTCTCTCTCTTTGTGTGTGTGTGTGTGTGTGTGTATATATATCCATCAAAACTAAGAACCAAGTACGAATGTGTGGAAGAGAATATCGAGAGACCTAAATGCACTAAAGCTGCATTAGAATGCACCAAAAGTGGAACATTTCTGCCACTGGAAAAAGTTGCGTTGGAATGTAGTAGCATCGGAATGTAACTAATGTCAAGTTCTTAGAATGGACCAAAGATGAAGTAGCAGCCAAATTCAACCCTTTTAACTATAGGTTTCCGCAAAAGAAGTTAATCTAAATATGAGTAAAACATAGGAAAGTATCAAATTAGGAACTTCATGTTTTTATTCTAAAAATAAGAGTTCGTACGCTAGTAACGTGGCATTGTATATAGACATTTTACAATACTTTTGGTTATGCTCACCAAAGGCAACTGTGAATCTCACCATTTTTCATGATTGACATTGTATCTACATTTTAACTCTTATTTCGGGAATAAAAAGATGAAACTCATATTTTGGTATATTATAAATGTTTTACTTCACTTCAGTCTTTTTCCCTAACCACAAATGGACATCCCTTGTTAGATCTTAGTAGCTTGATTTTCATTAAAACCAATATATATATATATATAGAATTTGGTTCAAATGAGATGGATGCACATGGTGCATTTTCCTACGCAGGTAGTGCATTTTTAAAAGTTCAATTAAATTACGAAACTGCCACCGCGTTTTTTAAATTTTTTCTTATTTTTCAAATTTTTATGGCCCTTAGATCTCACATTCTAAAGCACCACATGCATTCTCATTTCTCTCCTTAGATCTCATTCTCACCAGAACCAAAATCTATATGCATATATACATACATACATAGACACATCCCATTATTTGTTTCTTACAATGACTTAGCTTGACATGCTAGTAGCAAACCTTGGGTACATAAAGCCACTAGTCTGCTCTCCACCTTCGAGATACTCTTGAAGCATTTGTGGGTGATATTCTAGAATCTGCTACAAATATTTTAGAGAAATTAGCCTAAGAGTTTCAATACAGATTATCGTAAGGCAATAGACAGTAGGTATGTTCCGAAGAGTCATACCTCCCGATAAATGAGCTCCCTGACATCATCTTTTGTAACTTTCCTCCTCTCAAACTCAAATTCAAGCTTTGATATTGGTTGAGTAGACGGTTCACGCTCCACATTAGCCAAACCCTCAAAGTATGGATCAGACAGTGCCTATAAACAAGAGAACCAATTATGATGAAATACTTGATGGTGAAGGATATCGAATTTAAATGTGATATGATTTATGGTTGTCAAAAATCTTAACACTACCTCTTCAGCACTTGGTCGATCGTTTGGGTCAAATGCAAGAAGCTGTTCAAGAAGGCGCACAGCTAAAGGATCAGCATGGGGAAATTTTTGTGCAAATGGAATTGGCTGTTTCTTGCGCATATTACTGAGGTATCTTCTTGCCTTTTCATTTCTAATCTGCCAAAAAAACACAAATGATTAATGAAAAGATATATTGACATTCAATAAAAATAAAGAATATATTGCAGGTTTATTTTCTCCGAAAAACTTCTACATAAATGATAAAAGATATCTTCTTCAACAAAAATATAAATGCAAATTTGCATACGAACCGAGGAGATGGCGATTTCAGTGAAATGATAAACTAAAAGGAAGAAAGGAAGGTTCTAGAATGAGAAATCTCACCCTTGCAACAGTTTCATGAGGAGGAGTTCCAAGCAAATCTGTCATAAGGTCTAATTGATGCACAACATTTTTTCCTGGAAACAAAGGTTTTCCGGTAAGCATCTCAGCGAATATGCAACCGATGCTCCAAATATCAATGGCAGGAGTATACTGCAAATGAAAACATTCAGGCATTGTGCATTCTGTGTTAGGATTGAGTCCATACAGATCAAAACACATACATATTTCTATATAAACAATGCTTTTAAGCATCAACACACTAGCATCAATTCATTGATAAATAAAAAAACTGATTATGCTCTTAAATAAAAAAACTAATTATGCTCTTAAATAAAAAAACTGATTATGCAATCAATGGTAAGTAATTTCAATTTTATACAGGCACTCAATGTGCTTGTTCTGTACTTGTCAGAGTAAAAAGATCAAATCTCATGAAATGTGATAGGAGGTGAAGGCTATGGGTAAGTGAGCCTACATTAGCTGATGAAGCTCTTGGCAATACTTGCATAATAATAATTCAAAAAGATATCAGTTTAGCACATTCTAAGTTACAACAAAAATTTTCGGCATAAAAGAATCAACTGTTAAGAGCATTGCTGCTCCTATAGAAGTTATTAAGTACTATAAATATTCCAAAACTCTAGTGAAAATATGTTGATCAGTTCCTTAAAATTAGGACCGATTTAAGGAATAAATCAGGTAAAAAGAAGAGCCATGCAACAATTGAAGAAATTGGAGAATGAAGGTTTGTGGTTGCAATTTTGTTTGTTTGCAATCAACTAAAACTTAGGGATTGAATTTAGGTAAAACAATGAAATATGAGCAGTAAGAACACGCAATTGGAACCATAACACTCCATAGTTTATTTACCTTAGAGAAAAAAGAGCCGCATAGTTCAGGGGCACGATACCATCGTGTTGCCACATAGTCCTTCAATGCATTACTCAAATTAATACGAGTGCAAAATATAAAAATAAAAATTACAAATCTAAAACTAAGTAGCATACAGTCCAAAAAATAGCTGATGGTGCCTCATTAAATGATACACGAGCAAGTCCAAAATCACAAATCTTTAACTTGCAGTCAGCATTGGCAAGGATATTTTTTGGCTTTAGGTCTCGATGGAAAACATTAGCTGCAAATGAAGCAAAAAGGAAATTCTATTTAGATCATGGAAGGGCTTCAAAAATAACTGCTGTGAACAGATATTAAGACTTATCAAAATAAAATAAACTTAAGTAACACTAGCCTGCGTGAATATACTTCAGTCCACGAAGAAGCTGATACAGAAAAAACTGATAATGTTCTGCAGTGAGATCATCATTGGCCTTTATTACCTGATGAAGGTCGGACTCCATCAATTCAAAGACAACAAAAATATCTCTAAATTCTCTCCGCGAAGGAGGTAGCATGATATGTTTTATCTCTACAATATCCGGGTGTCGTAGTAGCCGGAGAAGCTTGATTTCTCTCAAAATTCTGGTGGCATCAGAGACATGTTCAAACACATCATTGATCTTCTTGATGGCAACCCGTTCTCCAGTGTGAGTATCAACTGCCGACCCCACAATTCCATAACTACCTTTTCCAATGATTTCTTGAACTTGATACCTACTTGCCTCTCCATATTCCGTAAAGAATTCATTCTCTAGATTATTCTGCATAACATACTCTTCCCATTAGACACATTAAGGGAATGCTTTTCATATATACACACTAAGTTCCTTAAATTTAGTACAATCTTTTCATTACACTGGGGACATGAGAATAAGTTATCTAATATATACTCACCCCGTCCAAATCTACTGTGCACCGTTTCCTTTTTCGGGACAGTCCCAATTTCATGCATGTTTCCTTTTATGGCAATGATTATGTGAATTCTCCCACAGTTCTTAAAATTTCTTAATCTAGATGCCCACTGGTCATCAAACTGGGAACAAGAAATTGGGGCAAAGGGGGCAATAAATGTGACTGCTGCAGGCCAGAACCCACAGCCTTCCTAGGTGGTTTAAATTATACTCCATAACATGCGAAAAACCCCTTTATTGCATCATCAAACAAAAGGACAGTGACGAATGACAAAGAAAATAAAGTTAATCCAAACTGCCCAAAATCGATTGGACAGATAGAATCCTTTTGATCATGACAGATCATTAGTTTCAAATATAAGCATTTATTTACAGGGAGATTCAGGAAACAATAAAAAAGGAGGAAAAGGAAACCTTCCGGCGATGATCCATGGAGGAAAGTGGAAAATCCACCCGCTTGGGGACCTTGATCAAACTCAAACCAGAAATATCAAAGTCCTCTTCTACTCTAAGCTGTTCTCCTCCTTCCCCAGCAGGAGTTTGGGAACGATAATCGGAGAAAGGATGAAAAACGGCCCTTTTAAAATGGGTCAGAGCGGAACCCGCATTTGCGCTAGAAGAAGCAGATGGACGACGATGGAACAATCGACGAACGCCATCCACAAACGCATTCCCACCCCCCATATACTACTTTCTCTGCCTTTCTTTCTCTTCCTTTTCCTATTATTTTCCTAAACTGTCGATCCGGTAACTGATCCTCTGCCACTGGATCTTTAGGTGGTACTGTGTACAACAAAAGTCAAAACATAAGTAAGGCCCCGTTTGGCATCAGCGTTAGAGATTAGCGTTAGCGTTTTCAAAAAGCTATCCGACGGTAGCCTTTAGCGTTAGCGTTTTTAGATTTAATCTACACCATTAAAATTTTATCCAAAACGCTAACGCTAATCGAAAACGCTGTTACCAAACGAAGCCTAAACAAAAATAGATAACATAAAGCTACTTGTACCCCAATTTTTTGTACCTCGCAAATAGGATAAAACTAATTTTTTTTAATGCACAAACACTTTGTATTCGTGTAAATTTTTGGTATGCACCAACATTTGTGTCAGTGTAAACCATCAAAATGTTTGTGTATAACTGCAGTGTACAAATAGATAAGATGAGCATAGGTGCTTTATTATTTTTGCCAAAAGCCACCCAACGCTGGGAATATTGTATCATCGAAATGACAGTAAGCAAACCGAGCAGTAAATAAGTCACCAATCTCTCTCTTTATATATACGATACTTTAACCCGTTAGAACGAAATTCTTATAGATTCTGAATTTTTTTAATGTAATTTTTTACCAATTTTTTTTAATCAATAGACAACAATGCCAAAGTAGAATATATAATATTTGAGGAATTAAAAATTTACTCAAGAAAGTCATTTTAATTTCTATCTATTTAAAAAATTCCACGGTACATAACATTTTGGGTATGGTTGTAAGGGTTTCATTGTCATTTAGAACTAATATTTTTAATCATGTCTTTGTCTTCACTCCTGAAACAATAACATAAAGTTGACCATGAGTAAATACCAAATTGCTTAAAACTAATACCCCGAAGTATAACAAAAGACAATGTTTAACATTGACTTTTGTTAATAGTCAAAGAAAAACAGAAGACTAATTAAAGTTATCTTGTAACGCCCCGAAAATAGGCCTATCAGAATTAATTAATTGATAATTAATTAATTACTGAGAAGGACCCAAAAATATGTGAATTATAAAGTTTGTCAATAAATAATAAAAATTATATCATTATGTAGAGTTTGACTGTCTGACCGCAACGGTTCAATCAGATTTTAATTCGGAGAAAGTTGGACCGAAAAGTGTACCCCGACTGGGACCAAAATTAGTCCCAATCAGGGACTTGCGTTTAAAACCAGTAGAAGATCGCCGTTTGCTCCACTCAGCCGCTGGAACAGGGAACAAGGACATCACTCATGGCTTATTCTACTAACCCTCTACTACAAAACCCCCAATTGTCCAACATTCTTCATCATTCTTATCCCAATAGAAAGAGCTGAGTGTGAGGAGCGTTGTAGTACTACCAATTTGGTGTCAAGTTGCCGGAACAAGCTGTGGTGTTCGCCGGAAGTTTTGCCGTCTTTTCACCGGAATCATCGTTTAGCATTAAGGTAAGCCCGTAGATATATCTAATGACTAGAATGTTCATATAGGTCGTTTCTACGTTCATAAATGGTCATTTGGTTGAGTTTTGTGTTTGACATGTTTGAAGAACTAAGAATCATAAACCTTGAATTTGATGTTAAAACTATGAATTAATGATACCAAAATGATCCATGAATATTGGAGAACATTTCTATATAGTTTAATTGAAGTTTGGTGACTAAAAACGAAATTCCCGAAAATAGACCCGAGGAGGAAGATGATGAACAGTGCACGGTAACCCACTACCGCCGGCACGGTAGGTAGGTACCGTTTCTACCGCCGGGACGGTAGGGAGCTACCGTCGCCACCAAGCTCTTCTGGCGGTACCTGTCCACGGGCGGTACACCCCTACTGCCGGCACGGTACCGAGATACCGTTAGCCGATATTGAGGTACCGTGAAGGATACCGTCTGATCCGATTAAATTCCAGAAAATCCGATTTTTGAACCATTAAATCCTATTTTTGACACTAATCAATTATGATCAATATGAATAATAAATTCTGGAAATAAAAATGATGTTTTGACAATTAAAGACCTTACGTGATGCATGACGGTAAGCTAGGGTGTTAACACTCGAAGTTAGACCGCTAATTGCTATTACTTTGAATGTTATGATTATGATGCATGATTATTATGGATTAATGATGATGATTATTCTGAATAAAATAATGATTATAAAGTATTGAACTGAAATCAAAATAAATGGGTTGATAAAAGTGAGTGGTATTGTTAAGGCTATCTAGAGAACTTTTAAGATAGACCTCCGATTAGAATGGGCCTTGCGGGTATAAACATGTATATTCGGTGGCCTTGGGTAAAAACGTACGTACGGGATCCATAAACCAAACTAGAGGAACTCATTTCGGGATACCACCAAACCCGACAGTTAGTATTCTGTTGTTCGGTTTTCTGGACTTGTACCTTAAGCGAAGGCTAGTTTAAGAGTTGGTAAATTAATCAGAAAATATGCACCTTAAACTAAGGACCTAGCTTAAGAGTTGGTTAAAAGTACCTTAAACTAGAATGAAGTTTAAGAGTTGGTAAATATCACAAAGATTGGCCTTAGACTAAGCATAGTTTAAGGATATTGCGGATTATTGAAATATTGAAATAAAAATATTGAGAATATCATGAACGACTTATATAATGTGTGCATGATATCAAATGAATGTTTGTGATTTGAGATTCACTTTATATGGATGTTCGACGCTTTAGATATGCTTACTCAGCTTCACCGCTGAGCGTGTAGTATGTTTTATTTGCTACACGCAGGTAGGCAGAATGAGTGATTGGCATGATCCTGGCAGCGGGAGGGGCGAGACTGTCGTGGTGCAAAATGGGATTTTTAAATGAATAATTGTGTTGTTATTAAATATGGTTTAAATTGCTTCCACACTATTATTAAACACTCCGTATTTTGCTACAGTTATGTATTTAATAATATTTATGATGAATAAAAGTATTTAAAATGTTTTAAATTTTACGATTTCCAAGTTAATACTTTAGTCCGAATGGGGCTGCAGACCTGGACGGATTAGGGTGTTACAATTTGGTATCGGAGCAAATGGTTTTAAAACCGATCTTCGGGTCAAAAATTTGTTTAAAAAATAATAATAATAAATATATATATATATTTTCGGCCCTAACAAAAAAAATGATGTCAATCAAATCCACGACTCTCACATCCCTCTGCTCTAGGAAGGTAATAAAAACTAAGTATTGAAATTGACTGTATTAAATTTTATAGATGTCAACTCTTAATTCGGAAATGATATCGAGTGTTGATTCAAATCGCACTTTCGTATATGGTAAAAGACGAAAGAACAAACGAAATGTATATGACTCACTGATACGTTATCAACGCGCTCATCACTTCGCAAGAATAATGAAACGAAGGATTTATCTGCGCCGCAAGGCTACATGGGAACGGGATGACCCGGAAGAGACGTTCAGCATAGACTCTGCAAACAGCGTATGCTGATCGGGTGTAGAAGACCCAGCTATAGAATCGTCACGATCCAGTCGAATGAATGCAAACGTTTAGAAATTATCTTGTTGTTCGTTCAAATCCATTAATTGTATCGAATGTTGTAATCCTTTGCAATTCCTGTCATGAACTCAACTACTAAAATAAAAGAATCCTAATAAAGGAATTTCTGTTATTGTAGAATGAGTCAAGAATCTGCCCACGGACAAGGCAACAACAATGAACACGTCAGTGTTCATACTGAAGCATCTAGTTTCACCCCTCCCGTCCAAAATGAACCCGTCAATCAACATAATGTTGGGAATAATCCGAATGCCGGTGGTCAACCCGACCTTGTGATTCCAGCTTTTCTGGCTAATGTGTTGCAACAAATAGCCAACGCGCCAATGTTTCAACCACCTCCACCACCGCCACCTCGAGTGATAACCTACAAAACGCTAAGAGATAACGGTGCAGAATTATTCCTTGGGGATCGCATCAGTGAACCCCAAATTGCGTGGGACTGGATCGAGCAGACTGCTCGAGTTTTGGAGGATCTCAATGTACCCATGGACAATTATCCCAGACTGGCTTCTCAATTGCTTCGAAACGAAGCCTACGAGTGGTGGAAGAGGACCGATGAGAGTGCGGGAACCCCTAAGCCGTGGACATGGGCACATTTCGAATGGGCATTTAAGCAAGAATATATTACGAAACGTTTTAGCGAGGAAAGACGTAAGGAATTTGTTGAACTGGAACAGGGAGACATGACACTCCCTGAATATCGTCAGAAGTTTACCAAACTTGCAAAGTTTGCGCCAACCTTGGTGAGTACCCCAGCTGATCGCATTGAGAAGTTCATGAAAAAAATCTTCGACCTAACCTCAGGTCGCGAGTGTCCGTCCTAACCACTTTGGATTTCGCGGAGGCCTATGATCTCATAGCCAGAGCAGACAACGACTTGAGTGCTTGCATTGAGTATCTGAAGACAAACAATGTTAGCTCAAGCACTCACTGTCCCATCATCTCTGTCTCAAAAGGAAAAAGGCCCTTCCAGGAATATAGTAGTTCACATTTCTCTAAAAAGGGAAAATCTGTGCAAACTCAGTCGATGGCATCCGTTGATAAGTCCAGGAATCGAAGGTATCCTGCTTGCGAACACTGTGGAAGGAATCACCCTGGAGAATGCTGATTGAAACAAGGTTTGTGCCTTGACTGTGGAAAACAAGGACACTTCCGAAAGGAGTGCCCTACAAACCCCGGAGAACCGTTTCCACCTGCCCCTGTTGTTAGTCAACTAGCATCGGCACGACCCGCACCAAGTCAACGCTCAACAGCGGGGTCTAATCCAGCCAAGAATCAGAACCAACAACAAGGACGAGCTCCTGCTCGTACATATGCAATGAAAGCACGAACTGAGGAAAACCCTGACGTCATTCAGGGTATGTTCTCCTTATTTGATACTGTCATGCAAGTGTTGATAGACCCTGGATCAACGTTGTCTTATATCTGTGTACAAATGCCAGAAAAAGCTGACATAATGAAAGAACATTTAGAGAACATATACTAGTGTCTAACCCG